ACGAAAAGGCGCTCTCTCACCCAGGAAACACACAGTCGCAGAGAGAGAGAGCGTCGCCCTGTAACCATGGCAACCGTAACGCTGCCGCCTGGAACAACAGAACGTAGCTGTCAAACAAAACCCAAACAGTCCTGACCCGCGACAAAATGAAACAGGAAAGTACCGCAGTGTAATCCATTTATTTCAACAAAGTAACTGTATTCTGAATACCACCTTTTTAAACGGTAACTGTAACGGAATACAGTTACTCATATTTTGTATTTTAAATACGTAACGGCGGTACATGTATTCCGTTACTCCCCAACACTGCTTATCGGGGCCTGGAGCCTGGGGCTCGCTCGGGCCACTTCGGAGGTGGGGTGCCCCCGGCCTCTCGGCCTGGGGCTCGGTCACTCAGGCACGGCTGGCTGCCGGCGGAGCTCATGGGCGCGTCACTGCAACTCCCCCTTGCTTCTGCTCCGCGGCTGCTGAGTGAGCCCTCATCTGGGACTCTCCTCAGCTCTTTCTGGGACAGTGGCGCGGCTGCCCCTCTGTTGGTCTTCCTTGGTCTCTTGTGTTCTGGGGGCCTCTGGATGTCTGGAGTTTTGATCTCCTCCATACCTGCTTCATGCCCTGGAGGACGGGGCTGTGGCCCCCCCACACCCTCTAGCAGATCATTACATGAAGGAACCTTTAAAAAAAAAAAAACAAGCGCGTCCATGCTCACAGGTGTACACACGGGTGATCACACCCACAAACTACACCCTTTTTGGCTCCTACCTCAAAGCACACTGTGTTCTGTTGATCTTATGTGCTGCACAATAATGTTTAATATTTAGTATTTACTGTCATATTCCCATATATCATTGTGATGTTGTTTATTCTATTACTCTTGTTCTCTTCTGCTTGTTTTCTTTTTTCTTTCTCAGCAGGTGACCCAGGTGATTGATATATGCATTTTTTTTTCTTCTGCCCGTTCTGTTGGTTTTTGTTTTTGCCCTTCTCCCCCGTCCCTCTTCTCAGCTGTTTCTCTTTCCCTCTTTCTTTCTCCCCTTCTTTCCCCCAGTAAGTCTGTCCCGTATTCAGTAAGTGAAAATAAAATAAACAATAAAAGGTGAATCAAATGGACCATTAGGCAAGGCTGGGATGGTCAATTTGGTAAAGTAAATCCGTTGGGCATCTTTCTTTGCCTTTAGACAACAATTCTGATGGCAAAAGAGCCAAACGGGACAGGCACAAAAAAAAAAAAGAAAAAAAAAAGAGAAAAGAAAATAAGAGAGGAAAAAAATACTATACAAAATACATACAAAAAAACGTTCTGATTAATTTACATGCTGAAAGGGAGTGGGAAGAAGTAAACACTTATTTAATCCCACCCCTTTGACATAAATTATAAAGCTGATTTTATTATTAAAGCTGAAAGCTTTTTAATTTATGTATTAGTTTATTAAAACTTTATATACTGGCATGGAGACTTGCAGGTCAATGATGAAGAGAATGAGCTTTTCTCAGGAAACTAATGTACTCAAAACATCAACTTTTGGTTTGTTTGTTTGCTTTACAATTATTCATATAGTAAACTTTGATATTTTAAAACTCAAAGTAAACATACACAGGTAGGCCACTCTTGGCTTTAAACATATCCTGTCTCAGGCGTTCCTTTCTTTGCTCTCCTTGTAAATTTCCCTCTCTGTGATTATCAGATTATCACCTCCATCTGCAGAGGCTTTTCCAGTTAAAAGTTAAGAAATATCAATTTGGTTTGATTGAAAGTAGAAAAGATGACAAGATCCTATCACTAGCCTGCAGCTAGCCCTTCACCAACAAGATGCTCACTCTCACGCATGAAGGCTGATATTTCAGATAACATGTTGCTCTGCACACATAAGTCTGTAATCTTTGAAGATTTTTTTTTCAAGTTTTATTTTTTTTAAGTTATCCTCAGTTTTTAACCATACAATAATAATGTATATTTTATTGATCCATGTGGGGAAATTCCTCTATGCATTTAACCCATTCACTCAGTGAAGCAGTGGGCAGCCATTGGGCACCCGGGGAGCAGTGTGTAGGACGGTACCTCAGGGTAGCCGATTAGTGCATTTGATCCACCGATCTTCCGATTATGGGACCACCACTCAACTGAGCTATCCCTGCCCTAGGAAATTCTGTAATAAATTTAAGCACTAATTAAACGCTTCCTGTCTATTACAGAAGACCATCCATATGCTTTGCACACCTTTGGATCCTAACTGAATTGAAGTTTTTAAACTCTCACTTGTTGCTTAAACTCCATGGAAAATCAATAACAACCTGAGAGGTGTGATTCATTTTAACAGATGAAATTATTTATTATTATTATTATTATTATTATTATTACATTTTTAAAAATTTATTAGCAATTAAAACTTAAATCAAATAGCAATTTGTATGTATGATTTACAAATTAAATTGATTTCAGAGTTGTGATTTATTGCTCAGATTTACATACAAGCGGCAGAAATGAGCTTTTTCCAAAGGTTGGCTGTCCCCTCCATTAGTGATTGGGTAAGGATCTCTACCTCATTAGGGAGTGGATTCCGAGCTGCTACTCCTCCACATTAAAAGGAGTTGGTTGGGGTGTTTCGGGCATCTGACAAGAATTCCCCCTGGGTGCCTCCTGGGTGAGGTGTTCTGGGCATGTCCCACCGGCAGGAGGCCCCGGAGCCGACCCAGGACACGCTGGAGATTGTATCTTTTGGCTGGTCTGGGAACTGAGAACATTGTTCCTTGGTACTCCCCTGGACAAGCAAGGGAAGAGGGAGGTCTGTTCTTCTCTGCTTAGGCTGCTGCCCCCGGATAAGGAGAAGAAAATGGATGGATGGATGGATGCATAGATGGATTATTGCTCACACTCTATTTATTTTCCATCCATCCATCCATTCACTTCCGCTTATCCTTTTCAGGGTCGCGGGGGGGCGCTGGAACCTATCCCAGCTGTCATAGGGCGAGAGGCGGGGTACACCCTGGACAGGTCGCCAGTCTTTCACAGGGTAACACAGAGACAGACAACCAGCCACGCTCACATTCACTCCCGCATTCACACCTATGGGCAATTTGGATTAATCAATTAACCGAACCCCACAAACTGCATGTCTTTGGACGGTGGGAGGATGCCGGAGTACCCGGAGGGAACCCAAGCAAACACAGGGAGAACATGCAAACTCCACACAGAAAGACCCCGGCCTGAGGGTGGAATTGAACTCAGGACCTTCTTGCTGTGCAGCAACTGTGCTAACCACCGTGCCCTGTTTATTTTAAATAAAATAAACTATCTAAAATATATCTCAATCAAGTGCCAGAGACTGTCAACTTGATTAAAATAAATAAATAGATAAATGGAAAAAAAAAACTGGTTGGAGTATCAAGTGACTAAAGGCAATATTGTTTTGATACATCATTTCAAAGTGTCTGCTCAGATTATTTTTGTTTTTTTATAGAAACACATAACTACACTATTCCAATTTTGTCCATTCTAAAAACAACAAAAGGTCTGTGAACCACCTTGGAAGTACTTCCAGAATCCAGGCCTAAACACTGTTATATGAACTTCTTTAATCACCTACCATTAACATATGTGGAATGTCTAACTAAATTTGGAGAATTATGTATTTGTCTACCAATGGCCACTAAAAATCTGACTAGTTTTTTCAAAGGCTACCAAGTAACATCTAATAGATATTAATCCATTTGTGTCAGTAATTTGAAGCAAAGGTCAAGTGCCAACATGGCTTTGTGCATTTCACAACACCTGGGATAAAGCCACTGTTTATGATGAGTTAATAATCAGCAAGTTGTTCCAGTTCATTGATTTCTGTTTCCCTGAAGAGAACAACCTGACAGAGGTCAGCTGCTGGTGCAGACATGGGCACGCAATTGATATCACCTGTTTGAAATTGTTGTGAAATTAGTTTCACTTTAAGGTAATGTCAGGTAAAGTTTCAAAGCTTTAATGTTCTTGAAGGTGAGATCTTTTGCAACGCTGTTTATACATCACTTTTATCTTGGTGTACCTTATGAACAGGCATTTTCTGCATTGTAATAGTTTTTCTTCTGTTTTTTTGCTAAGTTGCAGCCTTTTCAGGGACACACATACACAATGTTTTCTTTGTACTGTCCAGATGTTTAACATAAGGCAGTTTAAAGACAAGGGCAACAGAATTTTGATCCAGCATATTTAGACAGCTGCAAGACCAGGTTTGTGAGTACAGTGCTCTTATGAAACATAATCTGAACATTAGTGCTGAGCTGTTTCCATATGGAAGAGCAGACTCTGAGGACTGCAACACAAAATCAATTTTATGGTGGACTCTGCCCACAGAAATGCTTCGCTTTGCTGAAAATGTTTGTCTATCTGAACCTTTTGCTCCAGATTTTTACTTAAAATCTGTGGTGCTGTAAGACAGACTTTGACTTCTCTGTAAATACAGCGCATATCAACGTCTGCCAAAAATAGAGATACCTAAACCAAAGTGTATTTGCTCAGTGGTGGAACTCAGCTTTGGTTGATTAGTAAAAGATCCCAAGAGTTTGGGACTTTATTTTAAAAAATAAGATTTTACTAACATTCATATTGTAACACAGTGATACTTAACATGAAAGACAAATCATAACACATTGTAAATGGTAGATCTGTGTTAAATGGATTAAACCAATTTTTCCCAAACAAGTAAAAGTTCCATCTTTCAAAAAGGTATAAAACTAACTACCTCAACTAAAACTTAACTCAGATGTCTTTGAATGCCCTGTCAGATGTGAGTGTTTTTTTTAGCTAAGACAACAAAACTTTTCAAAGTCAAATTAGGGAGAAAATAAAACCATAATAAGACTTGTTGATTTGCTACCGGTGAATCAAAGAAAAAAAAAAAAACCTGATGAATGATCATCCGATCAGGACCAATGTTCACATTGCCAAGGTTACCAAATACAAATAAAGTGGCTAGATAACATTTGGTTCATTTAACTCCTGCTGACCAGAGCCAGAGGAAATGGTAAAATATATTCTTTTGATCATGGTAGTTTTAATGACAATGCACAAACTGACAAATTTTATTTTGAAATCTGTGTTTTTCTTGTACCTGTCAAAGACAAAGAACCAGTATGTTTTGATATAATCTGCTGAGAACTTTGTTGTTTTTGCATCCAATGTGAACTGCATATGGACTGTGCGGACAAAGAGTTCTGTTATATTAATAACAATATCATGAAGTGTTATGATGTATGTTTTTTTTTTTAATTCTCCATGACAGCCCCATACGAAAGCACTTTTTTTCAGTCTTTTCTTACTAATGCAAGGTATGACTTTATACTATCTTCAGTATTGATTCTGTCATTTCTAAACACGTTTTGTTTTGTTCTAATTGACTGACAAGCATCTTTCTTTGCAGCATGTGGGCCACTTCTGGCCCAAATAGAGCCCACAAAAGAACCTGACTCACCAGGACTGCTGCAGAAGCTGGCAGAGAGGGTCAGGTATTTCAGAAAAAAAAACCCTGTTGACCACTGAATGCAGTTCATTCATAAGTTCAGACTAGAACTCTTTGTAAATGATCAGTAAATTATCAGAATTGTTAAAATATTTAGTTTGATTTCACTTATTGTGTCAAAATGTTTGCACAATAACATATTTATTTGTGTATTATATGTACTTTGCTGCTTTTATCTCACAGGGCAGCCAAAAATAAAATCCTGGCGCTTGGGGCACTAACACAAGGCTTTGCTGGTGCTTATTATGAAGACCACATTCAACCGGTGACTGACAGCTATGTTGAATGGGCCTCTGGTGTCAAAACCTCAGTGTGGGAGAGGATTCAGACTACCATCGGCCACTACACACCGTTTAACACAACTCAAGTTGATTAACTCACTCAACTGAGTAAATCAGTATTCTTACTAAACGTCATGGCTTCACTGCTGAAGTGATCATAATTTAATGTTTATCATTAGGCTTGTACTAATGTATGATGCATAAAAAAATCAAATGATTTGTTAATAAATATCCGTACAACATATCTGTTTGCCTCTGCTGCAGGTTTTAGAGTTTTTGTATTTGTTTGGTTGTTATTAAACAAAGAGCACACCAACTGAATCCGATTAACCAACATTTTGGTTTTGGTTTTAATCGAAGCTGAAAAGCTTGTCTTCTTGATTACGTGAGTACAAGTCACACACAGGTGCATTAATCGACAAGTAAAACAAATCTCAAGCATTAAATGGATGCATGTGGATATGTGAAAAATGAGGTTAAAAAGAAAAAGAAAACAGTGAGATGAAGATATACAGAGGAGAAACCTTTTTAAACTGTTAGCAGTCGGACGTACCGCCCACGGGACATTGGATGGTTTAGGGGACTAATAGGACTGCTAAGGGGTTAAAACACTATTGAAAAGAGAACTGATCACATTGCTGGCAGGGTATTAGGGTGAAAGGTGAGGGCAGAATGCCCAGCAGCCATTGCTCAGTACAATGCGTTGGGGCAGGTTCTGAATGTTTGACCTGTTGACCATTTGACACCAATATCTGAGTACACACTATAAAATCTGCTGTTAAAAAAGTGCTGATTATCAAGATACAGTTAACATTATCTTTTGTCATAACAGATACAGACACACGAGCTGCTTTAGTTTTTTTCTATAAAATGAGGTGTAATTGTTATGACATTCTGCAAACATGCAACTTCCACAGTGCCACAGAGCATCCTGCCATATGGATAAGGATAAACGTACATTTCAGAAAGATTACATAACAACTAAGCCATATTTCCACATTCTGCATTTAAAGAATGTCACATACACTGGACTTTGTGTAGGTGTATGTGTGTGTGTGTTTGCGTGCATGTGCATGCAAGCATGTGTGTGTATGCTCATCAGATGACGTTTGTTTGCAGTCCCCCCCTATATCTTCCTGTCCAGATGTGCGCTCTGAGTTACAGACAACTCGGTTTGAGAGAAGACTGTCACTTCTCGGATCTGTGCATCCAACGCAACAGCAGGTAATCCCTTTTTCTTCCTGCAGCTGCCCTTGCAGCTTCTCTTCTGCAACTACAGAGTAGATTTCACTAAAACAGCTTTTCGTGAAATATTTAGGAAATGCAGTTTTGCTTTAAATGTTAGCAATTTAATCACCTTGTTCATGATCTTAAGTTGATAAAATATGAAAACAATGCAATAAGTTGAAATGTGAATTTCATTTGCTTTTTCTTCTTTTGTCTTTCAGAAATGAATGCAAAATATGTTTTTGCACTGATCTTGGTGCTGCAGGGTAAGGCACCCTGTAAACCTTAAATGTTCTGTAACAGTTAAGTTAAACTGAGTTTGATGTGACTGTTTTTAATGATGTTTGATTGGCCCAGTCTAACATGCTTTTATTGCACTCAGGGATTTAATGAACACTGCGTCATGGATGAATATTGCATGTATTTATATGTAGCTGACATGCAACACAAGTGCTTAATTTTATAATATAGTGAGCTGCTGTAGCAGAAAAATTTCAAATGTAAATACTGACCAAGGAAATCTGATACTGAGAGTGAGGTGCCAAGATATGTGGGACAGTTTTTATTTGGCTTTTAAATAAAAATTTACACACTAACCCCCAAACAGTTTAGTGCAACAATTAATCTTTTTTGTTGTCTCTTTTTAACATGTGTATACACCAGTAATTATTGAATTTACTTGCAACTGTTTTAATAGTACTAGTTCTCATCTCTCTCTCTAAAAATCTCAACTCTGTTGCCTTCCAGTCTCTATGAGCCTGTGTGCACTTCCCGAACCATCGCCAGAAATGGTTGAGTTATATAACACCCACAAAGCCACATTCATGAAGAGACTGATGAATTTTTACAACAAAGTGCACGCTGCTGCCACTCCCGTTGTGGAGGGCTTACGTGACAATGAGCGTTCACAGGATGTCAGGGAATTTGCTGAAAATCTGCAGAGCAAGCCTGAGTACCAAGCCTTTGTGAAAGTTGCCTCGTAAGTTTTCACCTATAACTATCCTAGTAACGCTTAATGTTTCACAGGCGGCTCCAAAAGAAAATAAACCTTTGTAAGCTGCTAATGTCATTACTTGAAACATAATTTGCTATTAGATGCTACTTAATTAACGTTTAGATTTCACAATTTCAGCACAAACACATACAGACAGTTTTTATGGTTTTGTTGATTTATTTGGTAAATTCTTTAATCATGGATACTTTTAAAATCATTCATTTTTCCTCTTTTCATCAGTGCTATCGGTCAGGAAGCAATTCCCTTAGTGGACAGGGCTCGTACAGCAGCACTGGGTGTCTATGAACACTACCTGCGGCCCCACATTGGCATCACCCTGGGCAGGGGCATTGACCACGCTAAATCAGTCCTGGACGAAGTCCTGCCCGCTGAGTAAAGAAGACCAACTGGAGCAAACTGCCTCTCAGCAGCCCTTGTTAGATGATAGGTCATAGTAACTACACCGGAGAAGAAGAATACAAATACTATTCTTTGCCTCTTTTAAATCAAAATACTTGTCCAATCATGCAGAGTTAAAACCATGAAAAACATGTCAACACCACATATGCAAATTGTGCATGTACAGTATTTTATGTTTGAAACACTAACCAGAGTTTGTGTGTGACTGTGTATGTAATGTGGGCGTGTTCAATAAAATGAAGTGAAAACTCTGTGAAATATGTTTCTTCATATACACTCAGATCCTCTCCTGTTATGATACGAGGAAAAAGTTCTAGGCTTTGATAATTCTGTTATTTCCTAATCTTCTAATGTATCTTTTAAAGTATGTATAGAGTTTTTTCATACATTTCATACTTTTAATTATGAAGAAAACACATTATTTATTACAACATAAATTTAAAAAGAAAACTCAATTAAACACCATGGGTTTATTTTTTACTCACTGTGGTTTTGCAGTGAGCTGTCCCCTTGATAAAACTGGAAATATAATGAAAAGCTGGTGCTTTAAACACAAGCTAATAATATCATTAATACCCTGAAATAAGTCAAACTCTGTCCCCTGAATAGTGAATTTGTATAATCCCATATGAAAACTTTTTTTAGTGCCAGAAATACTGAAAACACATTATTAATGTGTCTTTTGTATCTTTACATAAATTGATTGTTAACCTAAAATTACTACAGAGGACTGTACAATAATCTCAGACGTTTTTATTTGAATTAACTTTCCATAATTTGAATATTGATACTGTTGAATAGCACTTTGCAAGAACATGTGGAATATCTGCCTTATTCTACTCATATGAGCAGCAAACAAATACTCTTCCTGCGTTCACGGCATGATAGCAGAAATCACTGATTGAATTTATAATGCAATGATACACCAACGTTATTTTCAGCTACAGCAATAACCATGCCGAGATGAGCGTTTATTCAGTTGGATTGAATCAAAAGTGCAAATTCTCAAACAGTTTGAACCCCACTGCTGCCCACAGCTGCACTCAACTGACCTGAGTTCTTGGGGTCGCACACAACATGACATGTGAGACTGGAACACATGATTGGATTGAATGTTTACTTAGGCCTCCATCAACATGTAGACATCGCAGGAGAAAGCTCTTAACTCCAACAAATAAAAGAGATAAAACAGTTTTTTTTGTCACATTAACAATTATTCCCAGCACAAACTGAAATGTTTTTAAACCTGTCCCCTCGTGAATTCTGGCAAATTCTGTCTTCTCCAAAAAGAGATCTAAACATCTCACAAATATTTCCGTAGGTCAGAATTTTATTTGAAATTGTTTCCTCATAAAATTGTTTTTGCTCTGGCTAAAAAACAAACAAAAAAAAGCATGTGACTGATATTGACAAAGCTGTCTGGACTCTGAATTCTGTTCACCAAATGTTCACCGATGGCAAGCAAGAAACTGTCACTTATTACCCAGAGCCACAATATTTACTTTAATATATAACCACAGCCTCAAGGCTAAAAAGACAGATTTTGTCTCAAGAATGAATATTATTATTATGTTATAATTATTAGGGAAAATAGGAAATAAAGAGCACATGAGGACAAAACAACATAACATGAACAGCCGGCTTTAGACTTGTATTTTCATTTCAAATTGAGAAGAATCAAGATGGGGATTCAATGTTTTCCGCATGTAACTGTGACCAAACTTCTCCTTTCCTGAAGGATTTTGAAGAGACGAGTGGAAAGAGATTGTTTTTTGTTCTAAAAAAAGCCCCCAAAATAAATAAATAAATAAATTCTTAAGAGTTTTCAATGCAACACCATATATTCATTAATGCGGCCTAACTGTTTCATAACCAGAATCAGTGTGGGTGACGTGTTCAGCACACTTTAGACTTTGGACCATTTTAAAAGGACTTGGGACTGTTGCAGTGTGTCATGAATGACTGAGTCTTGTTATACAAATCTAAAGTGCCTCCTTATGTAGACTGTGAACAGCGCAAGGAGTAACAGTCTGCTGATACTGACCTTATCAATGGAAAAGAATTGACTGGGCCACATTTATTTGTCAGTATTCTTCTACAATGCTGTTTTCAGTCTATACTATAAAAGTCACTCCTGACCACAGCTGTGCTACCACTGTTATAAGTACCTTGTCACGCTTTATTCACTATCCTTGTATTTGCATTATCCCAATATCTGCTTTATCAAGACACAATGATGAACCACTCCAAAAAAACGCACAGCTGACAGCAGTCCAGGTTTATCTCCCACAGAGTGCACTTTGGCTCTGAGAGCAACAAGTCACCACTTTTACACTCCTATATAAACAGGCTGGGCCGGCACTACCTCTTACTTTTTTTCTTTTCACAGTCACTTCTGCAGAGGAATAGAGTGAGTACCAACACTTTTAATTCATTTACTGAGCAGTTTTAAAATAGACGCATGCTGTTTCACTGTATATGAGAAAAAGCCGAAAGATGACCTAACCGTTTGGGAGATTTGGGGAGATCTTCTGTGTTTTAATGTTAGAAGTGGACTAAAACAACATATATGCACAGTTAATATAACAAACACATCGGCTGGATGAGTGGGTAAATCTTGGACAATGTCTCACCCTAGTGGATGGAAAGAAGGAAGCTTCAAATGTTTTTTTTCCTCTACATTCACAGATCCAAGGACCATGAATAAGCTGCTGGTCATCACTGTGCTTGTTGCACTTTTTGCACTCAGTAAGTTTGTCCTCAGAGAGTAAAACCAACAACACAAATATATAATATACCAGGAGGTTTTTATGAATCAGTGATAATAAAACTTTAAGCTTTTCAATCCTAACCTGTTTGTAACATAAGCGAGATCTCTACAGAGTAATAATGAGCACATTCAGTTCAAGAAAATGGATACAAACCAGATGACTAAATGATATGTTTTTGTTTTTCATTTTGGTTAAAACTGAAATTCACATCCCATATTCTGATATAGAAAAGCTATTGAATGCATTGACACACGATCTTTAGCAGGAAATGAAGTTTTGTTTTAAGTGAAGACATTAGGGTGAAAGACTTTTCTTCTTCTCTGTCTTTTTTGCCTCTCGTGTCTTTAACCCTCTAACTAATGTGGCCTGTTTTTGCATAGGTGCTGAAAGCTTCCGTGTGCCGAGGCAGGTTGATGAGGAAGAGCAAGGGACCATCACAAAAATAACAGATACTGTCAAGTCCTATTATGCAGGTGCGGTCAACACTGCCAGTGATTACCTGGAACAGATCAAAGGCCTGAAGCTGGAGGAGAAGGCAAAGTAAGACATTTTGATATTAAGATGAATTCAAAAAAACTTTCATTTTAATCTATAACTGCTCTCATTCTGTGTTTTTACCACAGGAATCTTTACACTGAAACTTCCAACATTATGAGCACCTATCTTGGCATTGCACAGGACCAGCTTTACCATATTTTTCACCATTAATAGTGAAAAAAAAAGTTATCCAATGACCTCCACAACGTTACATGGTTGTGTAAGGACTTTCAACCTACACAAGAAAGGTTCAGAATTCATTTTACATTCTGTCCTTGGCCATACTCTCCCCACACGCAAGTGTCAAACTCTCTAACACAATGGACGAGGTGCATTTTGTAGCACTTTCTCAATCCACTGCATTGGAGGTAAATAATGATAACCACCCAATGGGGACTATAGCCCTTTGAAAAACAACTAAGAGCTTGGAATGAGAAAATGGACATGAGAATTTGGCAAGCACAAGAAAGGGAGCATTTTAAGATCTGCTACCACCTGCTGATATGCTTGTTTCCTCACAGTACCATGGCATCTCTGAATAAATTTCAGTTTGTTATATCTTGAAATAAAATATTTATACTGAAAAAAACATAAACAGGTGTCTGTGGTTGGTACATGGTATTTTTGTGAAGTGTTTGATGTAGTAAATTCAGCCCATTTTGTCCCCGTCTGTTTGTGTAAGATCGGTGTCATCTTTCAACTCAGTGATGCAAAAGGTCGTGATTTTGTCTGAACGAATCTGCAGTGAGACACGAGACTTTTATCGGCTCAGGCAGCACAAGAACAGAGGCTTCTGTTGTAATTAATAATGGATGAAAAGAAACAACATGCAAAATGTGAGCGGCGGGAAATTGACAGAGATGAATAAACAACAAAGACTCTGAAGTTTGTTTTATGGATACTGACAATCAGTGATGCAAGAGCAAGTGATTTTTAATTAATGCACAAATCTACAACATGCGGCTTCTTCTGAAGCTATTACCAACAGAAACAAACCAAGCAAAAAAAAAATCTGCTTTAAAGAATCTTGTCTTGTGTAGTTGTTGCAAAGGATCTAAACTGCATCAGAGAAGCACAGAACAAATTACACATTTGTGTGGGTTTTAAGGACTACAGTGATCCAACACTACCACTCCTGGTTCATCTACAATGACTATAATCACTGGAACAAAAAGAATAGACAAATATTAATATTAAAATAATGGTTTCAGATCCTTGAGTTGCAACTGAACATGCATACAGATCTGTCCAGAGTGGATGAGCCTGAAAGGAGCTGCATTCTGCAGTGTTTTCTCCTCTATCCATTAGTTTTCTTAACCTTCTTGTCCAATTGAGGCTCACATAATGGGAGCAGCCTATCATAGGTGACATAAGGTGAAGGCAGGTGACAGTCTGGACAGGTTGCCAGTCAATTGCAGGGTTATTAACACATAGAGACGAGCAGTGATTCCCAGCAGAATTTACAATCTCCAATTAGCCTAACACACATGTCGCTGGACTGTGCAAGGAAGCTGAAGTACTCAATGAGAATTCATGCAGGCACAGGCAGAACATGCAAACTCCTCACAGAAAGGCCCCGGCTGGCTGGTGGCTTCAAATGCAGGAACTTCAATTCCAGCTTTTATTTGGAAAAAATCTGTTTCCACTTGCTTTAAACATGTATTGATAATTAAAATGCATATCAAATGTTTGTATGTCAAACAGTCAGTGATTTGCTTGCCTGGAATGTTGATTTTTTTCCACAAAACAAAGTTCATGAAACATTAACAAGCTGTGTGAGATCTCCATCTTTTAGATTTTTATAAATATCTACAAATGATCATGTAATTAACTGATAAAACAAATCTGATATCTTTTTTATAGACTTAAAGGACAAAATAAAATTATAAACACACTTTGTTTTCCCAAGAGGCCATGCAGTATTTTAAGGGTTTTGAAATGATATGATAA